CCCCAGCGAATTCCAGGGCTCCTTCCTCCCATCCCCAACCTGCACAAAGCCCCAAGAGCTGGTTCAGCTGCAGAGGCCCCCAAGAGGTCTGCTCCAGAAGGACACCACTTCCCCACCTCGGAGCAGCTCTCACCTTTTCCCTTGTCGAGTACATCTGCGAGTAGGTCTTCCTGGCCTTCTCCAGGTAGCTCTCTCCAGCCTCCTGCAGGGACCAAACAGGAGGGACTGAGACAGATGATCCATGTCCTCTCCCAGTGCCCCCAGGCAGGGTTCCCTGCTGGAGCAGGCAAAGAACCCCCCCAGCCCCACGGGACCAAGCAGAAACAGAGCAGAGACTCCAGCCAACCCTGCAAACAGCACCCCAACACGGAGCTCATCCATCAGCCGTGGCAGGACTGTCACTCGCCCGGGGACAGGCGCTGACAGAGGAGAGAAGCTGTGGGAGCACCAACGATGCAGGACCCCCCCCAACCTGGTGGGAATGGGGGGCCGGTGTGGGTGGCCACCGGAGCCAGCCCCAGGCTGCGGCACAAGGCTGGCAGGACAAATGACTGCAGCAGCCAGAAGGGCGAGTGGAGCACGAGGAAGAGGAGGAGGAGGAACAGGCTGTGCCACGCTGGAGGAGGGAGCGTGCAGGGCTCAGGGAACTGGGCAGTTCCACCGCTTTCAGCAACAGCACTTGGGGGATGTTTGGCAACGTGGTGATGATCAGAGCAGGCTGCGGAGCTGCTGTGGCTGGAGGAGAGAGTTTGCACCCTCCAGCACAACCTCCCCACGGTGTCGCCCCCGTCCCCCCCTCCCAGTACCTGCTGGTGGAGGCCCAGGCGCAGCGTCACCCCCTCGCTGCCCTGCTCGTCGCTGCTCTCGGTACCGTGGAGGTGTTTGCTGAAGCGGGGCAGGGGCGCGTTGGGCTTCCCGTCGGGGTTGAGCATGTTGGCTGGGGCCAGCACGATGAAGGCGTTTGTAACCGGACCTGCGATGGGACAAGAGGAGGGGACGGGTCAGGCTTCCCCCGCTGGGTTTGCCTCTTGTCTGGTGCCCTGAGAGCACAGAATGACCCGTGCCAGGGTCCCACCTCCCTCCCCGGGAAGAGGCAGAGCCCCCCGGCCCGCTGCAGCTCGGGGAGGGGCGAGAGGCCCGTCCATCCCTGCAGAACCAGCCACCCATCAGCGCTGCTGCTCTCCCGCCTGGCTCCTGCACTCATCTGTCACACACTCTCCTTTGGCAGAGCTAATGAGCATCTTCATTACTGCACTTACCCACACAGGCTCTGCTCCCTGGCAGCAGCCCCCCTTCTGCTGGAGAACTCCCCCCAAACCCCAACCCTGTCCTGGTCAGACACAGCAGCAGCCCCGCTCTGGTGTGTGAGCAAGGGGGCCACAAATAAAGCCCCAACCATCCATCTCCCCCTGCCTGCACTCGACAGCGTGAAGGGGAAGGTTAAAAGGATCCAGATGCACCTGAGAGGGGGCAGGTGCCTGCCCAGTGTCCCAGCTGGAGGCAGTGGGAATGGTGCAGGATGAGGGAGGGAGCCGAGGGGGTCTCGGAACTGCCCAAGGCTTTCAGTCTCTGCAGAGGAGATTGACCAAAGCACCTCTGATGCAGACAAGGGCTCCATCATCTCCCCATCCAGCTAGACCAGAGCCTGTCCCTCCCAGGATCCAAGGCTGGATCCCACTGGAAAACCAAAGGCTCTGCCAGCACTCCCAGCCTGGCCCCAACACTTTGCTGTAACAAACCTATTTTTTTCCTCTTGCTCCCTCCCCAAAGACAAGACAATTGTTGGTTCTTCACAAGTACCCAGTAGTGAGTTACCACTGGCAGCACATTGTGAAAGGAAGGGACAGGAGAGGCAGGGGGGAGGAAACTCATGAGACCCCTCCCGGCCACTCTCACTCCCGGCCTCTCGCAGCCCCCAGTGCAAACACAAGTCCCATCCAAGCACCCCTTGTCCTAGTGGCTCAGGCACCAGCTGCCAACGTGGGCAGAGGGACTGGGCTCAACAGGGGGGACACAAATAATCCATGTTCCAACCAGCAGCTGCGGGCAGGAGCACGAAGGAGCTCAGGGATGGTCTGTGCCACACGGTGTTTGCAGAAGAAAGGATGGAGCTTGTGTGACAGGAGGGGTCTGGGGCAGTGCTGGGAGCCTCAGAGGTCTCCTGTTTCCCCTTGGAGCACATGTTGGGTGGTTGGGAGCAGCCCTGCCTTGCCCAGCACAGTCGCAGCTCAATTCCTCTGAGCCAATCCCTCTGCCCGTGCCCTGCCTCCCCCGTCAAGGACAAGCAAACCTGGCTGGAAAAGCTCCCTGCATGTGTCCTGCCTGCACAGCCACGCTCCTGAAGCCCTGAGCCACGCTCCAACCCCTCTGATCTATTTGCAGCACCATCAAGGGGAGGGCAGTGCTTTCTGAGCACACCAGGCTGCAGGAGCAGCAGCAGAGCCTGTGTCAGCTCTGCCTTGGGGAGGGAAAGGCTCAGGGAATGCGCCAGGGGGGCAGCAGGGGAGACCTTGTGCCCATCTGCACTCCCCTGCAGCCTCGGGGGGGTTTAGTGCCTGATCCTCTGGTGACTCACACAGCTCAGATCCTGTTGGCTTTCACCCGTCCAGCGCCAGTGGAGCAAGGCTGGATGGGCGCTGCAGTAGGTCCCAATTAGAAGCAGCCCTTGGCAGCAAAAGGCAAGGATGCAGCCTGGCTTCCAGCGACTGCCCTGTGGCAGCAGCTTGTCCACCTCTGTCCTCAGGAACAGGGTCCCACTGTCACCACTGTCACCTTCTGGGAGGGTTGAGGCAGTGCTGGAGAGCAGTGTGCCAGCCCCACCAGCAGGAGTGGTGTGCAGGGACTGAGACCACCTCGAGCATGTAAGAAATGCTCTGTTAGCAGCAGAAGGGCTAAATCCTAAATCACTCACTGCTCCAAGGCACCTAAGTACTGATCTGAGCTTCAAAAGGTTTGTTTGGGTGGTTTATTGGAGCCATTGACCTGAAATCCCAGACAACAGCTTATATCAGATTCAGTTCAGGCCTAATGAGCTCATGGGTCTCCTTGCTGGAGTCACAGAGACAGTCTCTTCTCCAGACACATCCTCCCCCTCCCTCAGCCTCCGAAGGCCTTTGGGTGCGTGTGGGGCAACCGCTCCCTTTGGAAAACAAGGAGGAAGATCCTGGATGTCCTCAGTGACAGGGTGAAATCTATGACTCACTCCTGACAGTGCACAGAGGGGTTGTTAACAGACGTGGGCAAGGTCAAGCATTGCTCCAGACAGCTGAGGCATCCCTCTGCTTCCTCTGCCCTTCCTGCAGGCGTGAAGTAAGTAGCAGAGAAATGCCTGAAGTGCCCGGGGTGGTGTGAGAGCAGCAGTGGCCGAGGAGGGAAGGATGCTGGTGATAAGGACATGCCTACCTTTGTGATTCATTGTCTTCAGGCACTGCTTGCTCTGGATGTCCCACAGCCGGACTGTTTCATCGTGCGAGCCGGAAAGCAGGAGGCTGCCATCCGTGGACACCGACAGACACGTCACCTGGTTCCTGGAATGGGGAACAGGATGTTTCAACTCAGGATGACCCGTGGACTGCCCAGAACTTGCCGAGGTGGGCAGACAGGGGCAATGAAGTGCTTGGCAAGTATGTCTGGTCCCTCACCTGTGCCCTTTGAAGACCTTCCCATTCTCCCGCTCTGTCTGGAAGCTCCGGTCTCTCTGGACTGGCTGCAGAAATGAAGGAAGGAAAAGGGAGAGCAGTTTAAATTCGGGAAGCCAGCAGGTTCCTCACTGTGTCTGGAGGGGACGGAGGAGATAGAGGGAACCCAGGCCCTGGCAGGTCACAGCAGTCACGTAGAGGGAGGTGACAGTGGCTCAGGGTGCAGAGAGCAGCACCGAGCACTCACCCAGGCGCAGAGGTCAACCTGGAAGATGGATCCATCCATGCCACCGCAGAACATGTGGTACTCGGAGAGATCCAGAGTCACAGCCATGATGCCCACATCGAAGAGGACAGAAAGCAGGAGCTCCCCAGATGAGACTTCCCAGAGCTGGAGTGAGAGGGTACAGGAGAATGAGGGGCTTAAGCACTGGAAGAACTCCTTGCTGTGGCTGGGGAATCAGGGCCCAGGGCAGAACCCAGGACCAAGCTCCTCGTGACCATGAGCCAAGTCTCCCAAGCAGCTCCAAACCGATCCCATGCCCATCCTGCCCCCCAGGGCAGAGCCCTCCTGCAGGGCAGGAGGAGCGAGCTCCAGGCTGCTCTGCTCCCTGCCCTTCCAGACCAAAGGACATGAGTGAGGGAATGAGGGGAGCTGGTCCCAAGGTTCCCCGGGGGAAGAGGGACTGCAGAGGCCCCAGCTCGAGGGCAAGTGCAGAGAAACTGCTGGTGTTTGGAGAGGCAAAGCCCATTAGGTCTGGCAGCTCTGAGTCATCACAGAGACAGCCAAGAAATTCAGCTACTGCAACCCTGCAGCCCAGCAGAAACTGCTTTAACCCCGTGGGGCCCGTGTGTCTCCGCTGGCTGGGACAGAGCTGAGCCTTACCTTCGCTGTCTGGTCCAGGGAGGCTGTGGCAGCTCGTGCCAAGGGCCCCCCAAAACCACAGCACAAGTCTGTGATGGGGAGGCTGTGTCGGGACCACACGTGGCGTGGGTCGGGGATCTGGGAGGGCTCTGCCTGCAGCACGCTGTGGGGAGAACAGAGAGGCTTTACCAACAGCTTCAGCACACGGGCTTCGAGCTGATTCCGCCTCCAGGAAGCTGTGGCTGATCTCTTGTTCTAACGTTCCTCACCCCAGACGCTCCCTGTTCCCCGTATGAATGAGCGTGGATGAGTTGAGACCTCCTCGCAGGCCACTGTTACCTGTACAGGTTCCACACCAGGGCCAGACAGTCCTTTGCCCCTGAGAGAAAGTGGCTGCTGTCGTCAGTAAAGCCGAGGCATGTGAGAGCCTGGTAGTGTCGGTTCATGATGGCTAAGAGGTTCCCGTTGGAGACCTGCAGCAAAGGAAAGAGCAGGAGAACATCAAGGAAGGAGCACTGAGGTGCCACAGAGTAATGCAGTGCCCTGCCCTGAACCCAGTGTAACCCCCATGTAATTACACCGCTAATTAAGACCAGAAGGATGGTGACCAGAGCACAGCAGCCTCTGCAGACACCCAGCTCACAAGTCACATTAATAATTACCTAAAGCACAGAAGAAGTGCTAAAGGAACTCGGTGTTCAGCTTTCAGGGAGCAACACCCGTGCTCGAGGCACCTCAGCAGCTTGGGAAGGGAAGGGAAGGGAAGGGAAGGGA